CGAGAATTACACTCGGACGTCACGATTCGACATAGACTCGTACGGACGTTAACTCGGCCAAGTATCTTTCGCTACACTAAAGTTATAGTTAGTGCAGCGTGTGAAACTGTGCACCGCGGGGCAGTCTAAGCCGAATCGCCGTTGCTTGTGTGGAAAATTCTCTGGATAAATCCCTCGAAGAGAGCCTCGTCGCGCCATCTATGGGACGCCATATGTACGAGAATAACTTAAGGGCGTTAAATGGAAGACATTCAAAATCGCTTTTCTACAGGAAAACGTCAAGCGCCAACAAAAAACATTCCAATTACGAGCATTTCGATTTATTGTCGGCCTACGTGCATAGTCGAAAGGCTTCTGCAAGCGCCACAACTCCTCAATTGACCGATTACAGGCCGATCTGACAGAACCGTGAAATTGTTCTAAATACAGAGCAGCGAATTCGATGAAAAGGCGCCGCGAGGCGGCGCTGTTCGCGCTTCGCGCGGATATCCGGGCTGCAGATCGTCTAGCTGCTCTCCCCCAGATCATTTATTTTAATGAACCTCTTACTCTTAGATGCAATTTTCTATGTATTTAACTGTATTTAACTGTATTTAACTGTATTTAACTGTATTTAACTGCCGCCATCTTTGTCTCGTTAAGTATAAAAGCGAATGGACTCCCGTACCCGTAGCCTCGAAACATTAAGATACGGCTACCGTACCCGTAGCCACTGCCTAAAAAAAACTTTTGAAGGCAAACAACACAATATGTCAATAAACACGCACACAAATGATGTACATTCAGTCACGCACGCACACATATACACATGTATCAAGTACTGAAGTAGACATCGCATCTGACGTGACACTATTAGTATTAGAGCCAACCTCGAACGGCCAAACCGTCCCTGGCTATATAACCGTCGTGACCTACATGCAGTCCCTTAAAGCCGCGCAATGTGCATCCAAACGCAAATTTTTAGCTCACCTTGACATCGTCAAGCTGAGCTATTGCCATGGGTCGTCGTCCGTTGTACGTCCGTCCGTCCGTCAACATTTCGCTTCGGTCAACGATAACTCAGCAACCGTTTGGCCCACATGTTTGAAATTGGATATAGTTGTTACTGCTATGCTCCCATATTAAACGTTCTATTTTGAAGCACGCCAGTCGACGTACTTTCGAGCCACGGCAATTTGTTGGCAAAAATGGGAATTGCCATTAGTCAGTTCAGGTTCAACGGATTTTGCTCATTTTTGGTATGTGAATGAATAAGGGCTATAGGGGTTTTGATATTTAAAAAAAAATTATGCAAATTAGGTAGGGTTTGGCAATTATATAGCATATTAAATAAACACAAACAGTCTGTGGTGTCACACTCGTCTGGTTCGTTTTACAAGATTTCATTGACAATATCTTTAATGCAAAATTGGTATTTCCTCTCCACCCTGCCGATAAAACGTCTATATTAGAGTAAAGATTTACAAAACATGTTGGAACGCAGCATAACCTATTTATTTCAAACGCCATCGCTACAAAGCGGGTATAGCGCCATCTACGGTCACAAATTATGATTCATTTTGGTTTATAAATTATTATTGCGATATACAGATGGCAATCATTTCTATAATGTATGTCGATGGTTGCTCAATTAAAACTGACTTCTTCTTACTCACTCATTTGTGTCTTTTTTTGTGGTGAGCTACAGTGTCATTGACACTTTCATTCCAGTACTAGACTAGCAAACACTTCGTGGCATGCATAATCACACTACCTTATGACAAAATAAACTCTAGTTTCTCCCATTTCACTGCGCGTTTGCCTAAAACCCACAAGAAAGAGGTGAGAAAACTGGCATTCTGGCGCTAACGCCGGCTTATTTGCCAAACAATTTAGCCTCGAAGAGGTTATATTAATTAGGGTGACGTCACGTGTTTTTATCTTTGCTACACCCGTACCGCTGTACCGCAGCACCGCTGCCCGCTGCACGGTTGCTTGGGGAAACTGTCAACAACATCGGAGAATTTGAACAACATTGGAGGTATTTTCAAATACCTTTTATAAGACAACGCGCAGTGAAATGGGAGGAACTAGAGTTTATATTGTCATAAGGTAGTGTGATTATGCAT